TGAAAACAACAAAGGGCCGATTGCTATCATGAATGTAAGAATAAATGTAACTGTTATTTAGACCATGTTAAACTTTTTTGCCGCCGATCAGTCTATATTATTTCAAAAAGAAAAAAGATATATGAACTGTTATACATGTTTAAAACTTGATATTGCATTAATTAAAACGTTGTAAAATATTATGTTGTTGATTAAATTATAATTAATTTGTCTCCCATGCAGTCCTATTTACTATCTACAGAATTCATGTATTCATGTATTTTAGGGAGAAAATGTGTAGGTATATAATAAATGCTGTCATTTACATTTCTTATGTTTATAATTTATATATGTATTTATTGCAGTCCTATTTATAGTTGCGAATTCAATGAATTTAAATAGAAAACGAAAGTAGCATGCGGACGGTGTTGATATTGTGTGATAAACTTTGAAGATCACTGGAAATCATCCGAGTAACTGAGTACTCGATCGGAAAAATGACCGAGTACTCGAGTATTGATTTTGGTATTCGTTGCCATCCCTAATTTTGATACATCATAATTTATGTTATTTATTTGTTATAATGTAATTTGACAATACAAAGCAAATTACTAATTTAAGGATTTTTGAGAGTTAAAAAAATTTGCGTTAGACTGTTACGTCATGCACAGACTGCCAGCAGCAACAAGTGCAGACCAAATTCTGCCGGCACTAAAGTCTGTCGCTATCTGATCATAACTTCACTCTTTGCTGGTCAGTATTTATCGAAAAAAAAAATCCTATAGATGATTAATGGCTATGCCAAGTCAAGTCAATTTAAGATATTAGGGTTAAAATTAGGTAACTGTTAGCAATTTTTAGGAAAAGTATTTGAAGAATAAAAGAATTATTTATAAAGATATTTATAGTGCTGTATTAATAAATTTAGGGTTAAAATTAGGAAACTGTTTCAGCAATATATAGGATAACTAATTCATAAGAATAAACGAATTGGACGCAGCCTGGTGTAATATAATACTTAATTCCATGAAAAATAACGTTGAATAATTTTAACAAATTACTTCATGCTATATCTGAAAAGGTCAAAACTATAATTATTATAGTTACGTTTGTTTGCCTTTTTTTTATTCTAGTACATAGAAACTTTTTCATTTCAAAATATTGAAAATTACAAATTAAATTTCAATTTTCATTTAATCCTGAACAAAAAAACACACTTTCTAATTCAAATTTATATTTCATCATATTTGTCTCACCATATTATAATCCGGTCTAAATCCTGTTTATCCAGCAATAAAAGCGTTATTCAATCGCAGCACTTTAATTCACAAGAGGTTTCAATCGTTTTTTTAAGACTTTAAATAAATTCAATCGTTAAACCATTTAATCTATTATAAATGAGATATGAATAACAAAGGTGTTGCAGAGTAGCCAAGTTTTGATATATACAGATTATAAAAAAAAAGGACACGGGGGTATAAATAAATGTGGTTTCTTATATCTTTCGACATGACCACATACAATGTTTAAATGAAAATGAATATGTTACAAATGTTTTGGTACAATAGAAAAAAGTCTAAATTTAGAGACTACTGATATAGGATTTCAATCATGTCCCTTTCTTTACAAAGATTTATGAATAGCGTGAAAAAGATATACCATTTCTAAACTGATATTATATCTCCTAATTGAATAGATAGCATTGTCTTATCGGAAATAAGTAACACAACACTTCTGTTGTTCTACGTGTCCGCTTTTACTAAAAAAATTACAACACTTAGCCAAGGTTTTTCTATTACTATCCAATCAGATTCAAAGCTTCATGCGACTAGAATCTGCCTGCTACTGAAACCATTATACCACATTGAACATCATATACAGTAAAACGGACTTGTTCATCACGGATGACTGACAGCTGATCTTGGTCTCTGCACTGGTTGCATTGGTAGAATCAAATGCCTTCAGGCTTAGACGTAATTTGAAAGTTAAAACAATAGTTAAAGTAGAGATCAGCTAGGCACATACTCGATCATCCAAAATATCATAATATTTGCTCCACTTAATGGCATAATTATAATATACCTAAGTTTTAGGTCATCATATAGTAGGAAGTGCTATAATCTTGACACTTGGAGCAATATTGTTATAATATTGTTCCAGCTTAAGTTAAGGAACCGTTTATTATAAAACCAAGAGGAATAGTCACTGAGAGTACAGTAGGTGTACAGCAAGGGACTCCTAAATCCAAAGTTGAGTGGCTAGTCATGAAATTCTTATCTGACAATAAGCACCATGAGTTTATGACACCAAGGATTAGTTAAGTCATCTGGTCCATCAGTCTTAAGCAAATATTTCTATATTTACATCCAAAAGGGTTTGGCATTTTAATGTGGAAACAAGAGTTAGAAACCTTATACAAATGTAATTCATAATGCCGAGCCACATAATCTTAAAAAAAACAACAAAAATAACACAAACACAAAAAAAACCCCCAAAACATATCTTTCACAATTAATTCTGTTGAAACCAAGTATAAATATTATGGAAGACAATAAATTACGTCACTTCGACACAGTAAAGGTCATATTGCGACGTTCCAGCTTTACTGGTGGAGGAAGACCTCAGGTGCCCTTCCGCACGAACGGGCACCTGAGTAGAACCACCGACGTTCTGTAAGTTAGCTGAATAGCTTCCTCACATGAAAGAATCCAAAGTCCCTGTAGGGATTCGAACCCACAGCGGTGAGGGGCAAGTGGTTTGAAGTCAACGACCTTAACCACTCGGCCACGGACGCCCCACAGCTTAAGTTGAAAATATTAAACATATAGTTGAAAACAAAATATAATGAATGATTGTAGTAAGTATAATTCTGTAAACTTAGAATATTGTGTAATTAAAAATGTTTTGATTTGACTCCATTGTTTGTTTAAGCATAATGCACTTCCACAAATATTAACAAAGCCTAGTAAATTATTGACTTATGTCTTTATTTCTAGTCTCACTGTCCCTGCCATGCTCAGACCAATTTAAAAATCTTTTTTACTAAAAATCTGATGTGCTGTTCTGTCTATATCACTTGCAGTATTTTAAAACAGAGATTGATATAATAATTGGTACAATGTACATGTATGTCAGACAGTCTGACATGATCTTGTCTACTTTTCACAGAAAAGTAACATATTTTATCGAGTGGCCATATTTTGTTCATGCATCGAAAAATATTTTTTGAGTCATTCATCCTGCAGGACAAGTAAGCTTCAAAATCCAATGTGCAATTAGCAATATTTTTCTAATCTTCTTCCATGGAATCCTCTTAAATTCTACACATAATGTGCTAGTGGACGAGTGGACTTTTCGATCTCTGTTGTTACCATGAGAAAGCTTTTGAAGTGAAAAAAAAATTGCCAATGGTTTAACAAGCTACATTTTGTATATCTTACTTGTTAATTTATTCATTTATTTTACATTTCCAATTATCCAGTTCACATTAAACTGGTAAGGCACTTAAAATTATGTATAAAATTAATGTCCCTATCATATCTGTACACCATTTTTAATGACCATTAATTTGTTACTGCGCAAGTGCATTGATTTTGGCAATTTCCGTTAAACATGTAGCACATTACTTCTTTCATCAATTAGTGTTATTAGCAGAAGAAGTTTCAAAACACAGTGATTTCCCTGCTTATATGACGGACTCAGTAAAAAGGCCTCTTCCCAATTGAAATTTTCTTCAAAATCATGCAGTTTTCCCAAAAATCTTAACTTAAACCTGCTTTTTTTTCTTCCCAATTGAGCAATTTTAGCTATACTTTTTCCCTAAATCAATAGGCTATTAGGTCTCTTCCCAATTAAATGAAAAAATCACTGGAAATAAAACTTAAACTAGAAATGTGTCCATAGGACATGGGTGCCCCCACTGGCCACTGTTCTGTCAATCTTTTTACTAAGTCAAGGGAAATAACTCTACAAATACTTGATAAATCCACAAGCGAAACCCCAGGTGCACATCTAAATATGCTGAGCAACCTGCCCATAATGTTTAATGACTATGTCAAATCCTTTTTGAGTAACTCGCGACACAAGTTGAAAATTGCAGAATTTTTACAAAGTAAAGGGGCAAATCCTGAAAAACAAAAAAATTACCCTTTTGTCACCCTTTTTCCCCCCCATACCTTGACGCTTTCCCCCAAAAGAAAAAAATTATGCTTCTAACAAAGACAGGTGAAAACCCTTTTCCCCCCTTTCAAAAGGTAAATTTTTAAAACCCCGGCCGTCAGCAGGGATAAAGTTTTTAAAAGACTAATCTGAAAACGGGACAGTTTTCCCCAGTAAACTTTCCCCGCAGTACAGTGCGCAGGGTCCCCACCTGACGATGGGGGATTAGTGAGAATCCCGCCTGTTAATATGTGCTCAAAGGGGGGGTTTTTTGGGCGCAAAAAATTTGGGGAAGGGGTTTGTCATTACTTTAAAAAGGGGCGGGTCAAGGTCCCCCTCTGAACCAGAGTTAAAACAATTGCACGGTCGTGCACGAAGTTGCCCTTGGCCTACCTGGCCTTGGATGACTTTGCACATCACCTGTAAGTCTATAGCGTCTTACAAGTTCATGAACTGTGTTGCGCCTGCAGTTAAACCTTCTACCAGTCAATGCGAAAGTCAAAAATTTTTTCAAGCCACAAGGACTGGGATCCTTAGATTTATTTCCGGCCCTGATGATTTTTTTGCGGCCCGGACTCTGAAAGGTATTTTTTGAAGGGGTGGGGGAGGGATATTGCCATAATAATAAACAAAAATATTCAGCAAATATGAATTATCAGACTCAACTATAAGATACTATGAAAGAAAATATACAGAAACATAATAAATAAAACAGTTTTGCATATTTAGGCCAAAAATTGTTTCAAACTGGCTGAAATTTTATTCGGACACGAGGACTGACTGTATCGAAATTTATCTCGGCCCTCCTGATTTTTAGTTGGCGAGGTCCGAGGACCGACAGACTTTCGCACAGACTGTTCTACACAACTCAACAACAGATAACCACCCAGCAGCATTTTTATTGAGCGATTTCTCTCGGCTTCTGATAAACATGGCATTGTGAAAGCGATCAACTTTAGGTGTGAATAACACTAAATTGTAACAGAACACATGTAAAGTACCTTAAAATATCACTGTCTATCTGACATCGTTCAGCATGCATGGGGCTCATGTGCAGCCCCGTGCAAAAACTAAACTTTTCGCTCAGCTGCATTCTACTTACAATATGCGGTCAAAACAAAAAACATGTATAGTGTATCTATAGTACATGAATACTTACTATACATGTTTTGATTTAATTCACAAATTAGAAAATATTTAAAAGAAATATAGTGTCAGGTTTCTATTTTTGTTGAGAATATATTTCATCTCAACATCTTCACAACATCTCTTAAATCTATTTCAAATAGGCCTGAACATTTTCTATCAGCTTAATTAGCTGACTAAATAAGGGCTTGATCCCTATCAGTTTCTTGATAATATTTTTCGCTAAACTTAGTCATACATTTAGTTACAGTACCTGTTTGTTCAAGTGCACGTAAACCTTCCACTTCCAAAATATCTGGACTCTGATCATTTTTTAAAGGCTTTTTATTCTTTTTCTTCTTTTTTCCAGCTGATTTTTTCGCTTTTTCCGATCCCATTGGTATTTTCTTATTAGTCTGCTTTGCACTATTATTTTTATCCATATCAAAAATGAAGAAACAAAAGTGTCGGTGTTTTGTCGTTTTGAAGGGCCGCCATATTGTTTACACCGAACAACACAGAAAGTTTACACAAAAAAGTAGCGCGTATGTTTTTACTTTTTTGTTAAAATTTTTCTTGTCAAGTTCAGAAAATATTCAAAATATTAAATAACTTTAAACTACAGATAAAACTATCTCGAAAAAATGGTGAAAAAAATACATTCATTGTTTTTATGAAGTGTTTTCCTGTTGCTAAGGTAATCAGTGCGTGAACTTTTTACACGGTGTCTTGTGATTTTAATGTTCATGAAAATGCTTATTTAGCGCGCGAAAATGAATAATTGCGGAGGCGATGAATTTAGCGATAATGAAGACGAGATATTGACGACAGCAATAGAAAATTGTAATTTATATGTTTTCGAAGCCCTTATTTACTGTTTGCTCTTATTTTAAAGAAATTTTATGTTCATTTTTACATTTTGGTTTTCTTTCATTAGTTTTCGCGATTTGCTACCTCACCATCTGTATGTCACAAACTCCGCACTTATAGTACCGGTTGGAAACGAATCCGGGTCAGCTCGGCCCTAAAACATACTCGGCCCCCGAGTCAGCTCGGCCCTATTCCAACTCGGCACGGGTCAACTCGGCCCACTTTTTAATTATCTATATTTAGGTTTGTGTTATCACTTTTTATTGTTATTATTGTAATTATTTATAAAACACGGATTGACAGTTTCAGAACTAGCAGCAGACATGCTTTTCTGATCAGTAGACTTGCGAGTAAAGACAAGTAAAATGGTTTCCTGCGGGGAACATTTCTAGTGATTTAAAGATATTTCATTTTCTATTTTCAACATTGTTTGGAGAAAAAATAGAATAAAAATAACGTTTGTATCAGGAATATAGTTGACAATAATCGATCAATAGAAGATGGTCTTTGGTCTTGGTCGAAAATAAAACAATATTTCTGTTTAAGAAAATGATCAAATACCATTGTATGAATAATTCCGTGCAAAAAATAAATAAAAGAAAGTAAACACACAAGTTTACGCAGAAAATATCCCTATCTATTATGGCAGATGCCACAAACGAATGTTTTAATTCTGTGGATTTTCACTATAAACAATTTATTGCTTGTAAAATTTCAGATAGATATAGAAGAAACATTGATAATTTTCATATATTTCATGCAAGTTTTTCCACTTTAAACGGTAAAATAATAATAGAAAAATAGAAATATCACGTAATAGTGTTATGTTCTTAATTAGGTGTAATTCGGACTAATTCCCTAGCATTGTGTACACCGGTCATTTGAGATATATATATATAATAAAATATTTCTTATTATTTATTTACCTTACCAACATGCAAAGCAAAGATTATACGTTATATATATTTTTGTAAAGTGGGCCGAGTTGACCCGTGCCGAGTTGACCCGTGCCGAGTCGGTATAGGGCCGAGTTGACTCTTTTCCGTTGGAAACTATTGGGTAGTTTATGTTCGTAATAACATTTTAGCTCGACTTTTTTATAAGAATGAGTAAGAGCTATCTTAGTCACCCGAGTGTCGGTGTCGCTGTCAATATAAAGCTTAACATTTTCGGTACAAGTCAACCCGGCCCCAAGTCAGCCCGGCCCCAAATTGGTCAACCCGGCCCCAAACCAATGTTATTTCTGGTCAACCCGGCCCCATTTTTTTATTATTTATTTTGCTTTAAAATATAAACACTTATCAAGAATTAAAATAAAAAATAACAACAAAAACAATATCAAAAGTTTAACGATGACATCTTTTATTATTTATTTTATATAAAAACTAGCAATATTAACAAACAAGCAGCACATGCATATAGTTTACTGTTTTTACCGTCGCGAAAATAAGGTGACGTCTGTCTTCAACCTTAATCTCTCTACGATAAACTAAACTTTGTTATTGACATATCATGGAAAAGAAACCTTAATGTGTTCAAATCATTACTATGTTATTGTATGTTAAAAAAGAAAAAAAAGAAATGACCAAAAGCACACTAAAGTGTTTCCATTAACAGTTTTTAAGTAAGATTAATTATAATGATGCTGCCATCGCAGGTCACTGCCTCCTGTCTGTCACTCACAATATATATCCACAATTAATACAGTTATCAGTCATAATGACATAAAGTGATTAAACACAAAACACTATCATTTTTTCAAACACTTAGTAATATTCCAATACTTTTTTACACAGTAAATATTCTTTGAAAATAAGTTAATAAAAAACTAAACAAATAGTAATTATACTGATGAACGTATTCAATAAAAACATTCAAATGAACTGAAAAAAAGATTGTTGGAAACTTAATTTATACAAACCTTTTAACTCGAAATTCTATGCATTTCTTCCGAATTATCGCATTAACACTCACGAAACCATCTTTAATTTACATCGAATCACGGATTTATATATGTAATAGTGATCGAATAAAGACATGAAAGATACTAGCAACTTATTTAAAAGATTTGTTTTTCACAGCTGTATACCTTTTTTGTTAATTGATTGCTTTAAACTGTTTGATTATCACATCTGAAATAATGTTGATGTACATATAATTGTTGATGTTATATAATTATTCATTATCACTATTGCGTATTAATGTCTTAATCGGCGCAATAATTTACCGACACTTTTATTGCCAGTTCATGTTTTTTTACTATTGTTCTATAGTTAATAATATCCAATTAATAATAAATCATTTTTATTCCATCATACAGCAAAATGACCTGAATAGTTGTTTTTGAAAATATATATTTTGGGGCCGGAATGACCGATTTTGGGGCCGGGTTGACCAATTTTGGGGCCGCATTGACCAAAAAAAAATACTGTGGGGCCGGGTTGACTTGGGGCCGGGTTAACTTAGGGCCGGGTTGACTGTAATTCAACATTTTAACACAAATGGGGCATCTGTCATTTTTGGGAGACATACTGCTTTTTCTTTAGTCGGCTGTCTGCATTAAGCTTGCCTGTATTTTTATTTTGTTAGTCATGACTACTCTGTTGTTAAGCAGTACTAACTTGCAATATGGCAGATTTAAAAAAAGTAATGCAATCCAGGGGCATAGGGGGCATTTGTCCATTTTTAACAACAAGTTTTGTTCAAATTTTTTTTTCCAAAATGACGCATCATCTTTCTAAATCTAAATCACGGGCCTTTTTCATAAGTGCTGAAAATTAGCTTGTAATGTTTAAATTATAGTCCTGATTAATTATACCATAGTTACAATTTGAATTGTTAATTTGTAGACACTTCTATGTTTCAATTATTTTTCATTACAATTGCCCACATTTAGCATAATTTAAACATTCATCTCACTTCAGTTGAAGCCAGTTTAAAGCCCAACTCAAGTGTAGCCAAGGATGAAGAGCTTCGAACCCCATTGGAGAGGTTTAGACCAGGATATTTATGGGTCTCTGACCTGACTAGACAGAACTGGTGTGAGCAGCAAGTGTATTATTCTTTCACTGTACCAGCAATTGTGGAAGAAAACCCAGTCATGACTGAAGGGTCTAGCCTACATTTAGCAAGAGGTATGTTGACATTGCCTGGACACTGTATGATCTGAAATAGTTTTATAAATTCAAAATTAGGTTGTCTACTTTTGTTCTTAAACCCTTACCAGGCTAATTTAAAATATATTTCAATCTTGATAAAATTATAGGGTAAATGTCAAAGTAAGTATTAACTGAATAGCAAAGTGTGCAGACCATCATCTGAAACAGTACATATGAGCGGCGTCACAACAAAACCAACATAGTGCGTTTGCTGATCAGGATCCATGCTGTTCACTTACAAACCCTATTACATGAAGAGAAACTGATCGCGAACAACATGTGCAGGCTGGTCTGGATCTATGCTGGTCCAGGGCTTTTTTCAATTATATAACAGGGGCCAATATAAGGCCCCTTCACAATTCAAAATTGCACTTTTTTTCACAAAGCAGCGGAAAAAAATTCACAATTTCAAAAGAGATTTCACAAAATAATGGGACTTTGTCTACGAAACACATTGTTTACCTTCAATTGCAATAACACAGAAATAGCTCAGACTTCCCGAAAGTTAAAAAAAACTGTCAGACATTCGGTCTGACAAACCATGAAAATCTGTCGGACCGAAACGAAATCTTTCAGACCAAATAAAATTGATCAAAATCAAAGAAAAACTTGTGTTTGTATTTCTGAGACACTTTTGTTTTTAATTTTTTCGCCGTAAAAATCGGCACATTCTGTACAGTGCATTTTCATCTCCTCCATGTTATACACCAACGATTCATGGTCCTCCTTCCATTTTTCATTAAATTTTGTCTCAGGTCTATTCTTTTCATCCTTTTATTGCTGTTCTGCGCGCTCCTCTGACGAAGATTTTCGTTTTTCCCAGGTTTGGCAGCTTTACCGACGCCATTTTGTATACATGCTGCTTGGATAAAAGCCGGACATTCGGACTGATCCGGAATAAAAAATCGTCGGACCTGATCAAAATTTATCGGACATGTCCGTCGGACCGACGTATTTCGGGAAGTCTGATAGCTTTAATTAAGTAAAATGGTTTTTGTGCTTGTTAACCAGGATAAAGTACCAACTTTAAGCAGATTTTGCACAGGTCAGAAATTATAATCAAGCGTTTACGGTTTCAAAATGTCGTGAAATGCCAAGTAATATGTCATTTTTAGCTCGACTTTTCTATGAAAAGGGGAGCTATCCTACTCGCCCCGGCGTCGGCGTCGGCGTCGGCGTTGGCGTCACACCTTGGTTAAGTTTTTCGTACCACCCCACTTTATTTCAGAAGTATTACAAGTATGGCTTTGAAACTTACCATACTTGTTCACCATCATAACCTCCATCTACAGACAAGAGTACATAACTCTGTCAAGGTTTTTGACAGAATTATGGCCCTTTTTTGACTTAGAAAGTGTATTGAGCTTGGTTAAGTTTTTTGTACCACCTCACTTTATTTCAAAACCATTGGAGGTATTGCTTTGAAACTGACCATACTTGTTTACCATCACGACCTTCATCAACAGACAAGAGGACATAACTCTGTCAAGGTTTTTGACAGAATTATGCCCCTTTTTGACTTAGAAAATACATTGAATATGGGTAAAATCCACTTATTGCCTTAACCCTTTGAGATATTGCTTTGAAACTTTTAATGCTATTTCACATCATTACCCCCATCTGTACGCAAGAGAAGGTAACTCTGTCAAGGATTTGTTTTAAAAATTAAGGTCTTTTATCGACTTAGAATCTTGGTTAAGTTTTTAGTACCAGTCCACTTTTTGACTGAACTGTTTGAGATATTAATTTGAAAGTTGGAATACTTGTTTACAATCATGATTCCCAAACATGTCCAGGAGAAGGTAATTCTGTCAAAGATTTTATTTGAATTATGGCCCTTAACTGTCAATGTTTTGTATTATAGGCAAGCACTAAAAAACTTAAAAAATCTAAAAAAATTCATTCCTATCCACTTGTTCACTTTACCATAAATTATGTCATATAAACATTGCTGTAATATTCAAGGGTATCAAACAACTAGTTCACTTTAAAAATACAGAGATTCTTGTATTGCCTTTTACTGCAAAAACTTTTTTTATTGGCAAGCAATAAAAAAGTCGAGCGCGCTGTCTTACGGACAGCTCTTGTTAGCTCACCTGTCACAAAGTGACAGGGTGAGCTTTTGTGATCGCTTTTCGTCCGGCGTCCGTCCGTCGGCCGTCCGTCCGTCCGTAAACTTTTACTATAAATGACATCTCCTCATAAACCACTAAGCCAATTTCATCCAAACTTCACAGGAATGTTCCTTTGGTGGTCACCTTTAAAAATTGTTCAAAGAATTTAATTCCATGCAGAACTCTGGTTGCCATGGCAACCGAAAGAAAAAACTTTAAATATCTTCTTTTAAAAAACCATAAGAGCTAGAGCTTAAATATTTGGCATGAAACATCTTCTAGTGAGTGTCTACCAAGTTTGTTCACATAAAAGCCCTGGGGTCAAAATTGGCCCCGCCCCGGGGGGGGGGGGGGGGGGTCATTGATTTTCCCTATATACATATAGTAAAAACTTAAAAAATCTTCTTTTAAAGAACCAAAAGAGCTACAGCTAAGATATTTAGCATGAAACATGTTCTAATGGGTGTCTACCAAGTTTGTTCAAATAAAAGCCCTGGGGTCAAAATTGGCTCCGCCCCGGGGGGTCATTAATTTTCCCTATATGCATATAGTAAAAACTTAAAAAATCTTCTTTTAAAGAACTCAAAGAGCTATGGCTAAGATATTTAGCATCAAACATGTTCTAATAGGTGTCTACCAAGTTTGTTCAAATAAAAGCCCTGGGGTCAATATTGGCCCCGCCCCAGGGGGGTCATTGATTTTCCCTATATGCATATAGTAAAAACTTAAAAAATCTTCTTTTAAAGAACCAAAAGAGTTAAAGCTAAGATATTTTTGCATGAAACATGTTCTAATAAGTGTCTACCAAGTTTGTTCAAATAAAAGTCCTGGGGTCAAAATTGGCCCCGCCCCGGGGGGTCATTGATTTTCCCTATATACATATAGTAAAAACTTAAGAAATCTTCTTTTAAAGAACCAAAAGAGCTACAGCTAAGATATTTAGCATGAAACATGTTCTAATAGGTGTCTACCAAGTTTGTTCAAATAAAAGCCCTGGGGTCAAAATTGGCCCCGCCCCGGGGGGGGGGGGGGTCATTGATTTTCCCCATATGCATATAGTAAAAACTTAAAAAATCTTCTTTTAAAGAACTCAAAGAGCTATGGCTAAGATATTGAGCATCAAACATGTTCTAATAGGTGTCTACCAAGTTTGTTCAAATAAAAGCCCTTGGGTCAAAATTGGCCCCACCCCAGGGGGTCATTGATTTTCCCTATATGCATATAGTAAAAACTTAAAAAATCTTCTTTTAAAGAACCAAAAGAGTTAAAGCTAAGATAGTTAGCATGAAACATGTTCTAATAAGTGTCTACCAAGTTTGTTCAAATAAAAGCCCTGGGGTCAAAATTGGCCCCGCCCCGGGGGGTCATTGATTTTCCCTATATGCATAATTAGTAAAAACTTAAAAAATCTTCTTTTAAAGAACCAAAAGAGATAGAGCTAAGATATTTAGCATGAAACATGTTCTAATGGGTGTCTACCAAGTTTGTTCAAATAAAAGCCCTGGGGTCAAAATTGGTCCCGCCCCGGGGGGTCATTGATTTTCCCTATATGCATATAGTAAAAACTTAAAAAATCTTCTTTTAAAGAACTCAAAGAGCTATGGCTAAGATATTTAGCATCAAACATGTTCTAATAGGTGTCTACCAAGTTTGTTCAAATAAAAGCCCTGGGGTCAAAATAGGCCCCGCCCCAGGGGGTCATTGATCTTCCCTATATGCATATAGTAAAAACTTAAAAAATCTTCTTTTAAAGAACCAGAAGAGTTAAAGCTAAGATATTTAGCATGAAACATGTTCTAATAAGTGTCTACCAAGTTTGTTCAAATAAAAGCCCTGGGGTCAAAATTGGCCCCGCCCCGGGGGATCATTGATCTTCCCTATATGCATATAGTAAAAACTTAAAAAATCTTCTTTTAAAGAACTCAAAGAGCTATGGCTAAGATATTTAGCATCAAACATGTTCTAATAGGTGTCTACCAAGTTTGTTCAAATAAAAGCCCTGGGGTCAAAATTGGCACCGCCCCGGGGGTCATTGATTTTCCTTATATGTGTATAGCAAAAACTTAAAAAATCTTCTTTGAAAAATCCCAAATAGCTAGAGTTAAGATATTAAGCATGAAACATCTTTTAGTGAGTGTCTACAAAGTTTGTTCAAATAAAAGACCTGGGGTCAAAATTGGCCCCGCCCCGGGGGTCATTGATTTTCTTTATATGTGTATAGCAAAAACTTAAAAATCTTCTTTGAAAAAACCCAAATAGCTAGAGTTTAGATATTAAGCATGAAACATCTTCTAGTAAGTGTCTACAAAGTTTGTTCAAATAAAAGCCCTGGGGTCAAAACTGGCCCGGCCCCAGGGGTGTCATTGTTTTTAACTATATGTGTATAGTAAAAACTTTAAAAAAATCTTCTTTCAATAAAGCCCAATGAGCTAGAGCTTAGATGTTCAGCGTGAAACATCTTATTATGGATGTCTATCGAGTTTGTGCAAATAAAAGCCCTTGGGTTAAATTGGCCCTGCAACGTTGCGGGGGGGGGGGCCTATATACAGGTGAGCGACCTCAGGGCCATCATGGCCCTCTTGTTTCTTTTCCCACAATTTTGACTGTCACATATCGTGCTTTTTTTTCACAAAATGAACAGGCCCAGGCCCCTTTACAATTTTGACAAAAAAATGCCCTGTGGTCTCAAAGGCACTTTGTTGGTTTTGTTATGGCAAGGCACATATGTGTTGCTCTTGTTCTGCAGTAGTTGCATGGATAGATTCAGTTGTCTTCACCAGACAAAAGGGTTATATCCTGAATATTTCATTTTAGTCATTGGATACTTCACTTGTAGGTTCAAAACGGAAATATATACCTTCTTTAAATGCCTGAATATTTATAGTGTTAATGTTGTTTAGCCAGGTGCAGTCTAAGGACTGGCAAAATCTGATTTTAACTTGTCTGTTATATCTGAATCAATTATTTACTTTTCTGTATGATATTTATAAAATACATTCTCTTAAAAACATCACTTGTCCCTACAGCCTACAGGCTGCAGAACAACCTAGGCAAAATAAATCATTTTTACTGCCCCTGGTACATAGTTAAATATAAAAAAATGTAAGAAAGGCATGTTTAGATATTGCCTGAATAGGCTGTACTTTTTGTTATTTTGCTTGACCAAACAATTTAGTCAATAGTGCTGTGAAATATGTAAAATGATTTTTACATATAATGTCCACATATTTAGCTCACCTTTGCTAGTCTTGGTATTGTTGAATGTCTGTCATCTGCCACCAGTCAGCATTTAGTTGGTTAACAATCCAGTGGTCATGTTTACCTCAATTGTATTAAAATTTGTCAATATGAAAAACTAGGTCACATGACCGAAAAAAAAAAATCTTTTTAATGCTCTAGAGGCTAATGTTTCAGTTTAAATATCCTGAAAGTTGGTCTTAAAGATTGTTGAGGTGATTTCTATCTCAAGTTCCAGTATGGGTCATCTGGGGTCAATAACTAGGTAACACATCCCAGATGTGGAAAACCCTTGTTTGCATTTGCACTATTTTAGGTGCAGATCAGGCTTCGCGAAAGTTGCCGGACCGTCGGACATGTCCGGCAAAAATCAGGCCGGTCCGATATTTTTTTTCGGAGTTCCGGACCTTATGTCCGGTACGAATACCGGGATATATCCAAGACTGATCAAGACCGAGTTTATCTCCCTTGAATAAAAAAATGTAAAACGAGTTTTGATTCGCCGTTTCATTATAAGTGTGTGATCATACATACGACTGTCAATAACCAAAATGTCGGTGTTACTACATTATTACGCTGGCGCTACGCCCGGCAAAAATCGTAAACTATCCAATGAAGAAAAATAAGCGAAACAAAAGGAATATGAGTCCAGGCGCCCGCCGAGAAAATTTGTGGGTAAATGGAAAAATGGCCGCTTTGATCATGAATGTTTTGATTTCCAAACAGAGTCCATCCACATGTGCTTGAAACAAACTTTTTTAAGTTTTATATGGGCTATATATCTTTATATACATATATAGACTGGTTATGTAAAATATTTGAATATATGTGACTAGCGCCTGTGAGTCCATCAATCAGGATAAACTAATGTTTTATTTAAGGGAATTAAATTGTGTTGCAAATCTTTAAAAGTTGTTATGTCTTTAAAAAAAACACCAAGGTATTACCATATACATATATTTGGGGAAAAAATTCGGTCAGACAAAAGTTCTTTCGGTCAGACAAGAATTGAATGTTTGTCTGACCGAATGTCAGACAAATTTTTCAGCAGTTTCGCGAAGCCTGGCAGATATCAACATTGTGATACCAATTAATACTCGTATTAAGGCATTACAGTGTTCCCACTAGAATTTAAATTTGAGGGTACATGTACCCCCTAGGTCATATTTTTGGGGGTACACAGAATATTTAGGGGGTACAAACTATAAAGACAAGCAAGTCAGTTAAACACATATCAGTATTTTTATTGAGACATCTTTTCCACAGCTTTCTGAATAACTTCATTAGAATCAAAATCTTGCTGATTGGCAGAAAAGTGTATCATCATTCTATTTTGTACATTTTTAACAGTCCTCCTACTACAGTACCTTGAAATGTGTCTGTTTTGTGATGAGAATCCCCTTTCACAAGGGACAGAAGTTAGAGGGATTGTCAGCAAGATACTAGCCATATTGGCAAACCCTGGGAATGTTTCAGATTGTTTATTTATAATATCTTTGCATATTTCCTGCAATGATAACTGCCTATTGACATTCAAGAGGTACTTAAACTGAACAAAAGAATGTTTTAATTCTTCTCTGTTGAGAAGATTCCCATAGAAATCAAGGACCCTGTCAAGTTCTACCTCCCCATGGGTGATAATGCCCTCATGGTCACTAGGAAGCAATGCTGGGTTGAGAATAGTATTTAGATCTCTGAGGATTTTCATATCATCAGGGGGAAATCTACTCTCAAATTCTGCCAAAAGATGACCCACAAATGTTCTCCTCAAATTGGCCAATGTTAATCTATCCCTCAAAGAACAAGACAAAGTAATGCCTTGGTAAGTATCAGTATCATCTATGCTGTCAATCAGCTCCTGAACTGAGGGAGATTCAGTAGAACCACTAAGTGCAGAAATAGTAGCTTTTGTAGCAGAGATCATACTATCAACCTGATGTATGTCAATATTATCTTTCTGAAAAAACTTTGACAGCCTGCAAATCCAACTTAGAATATCTTTAAGAAGGCATATGGTTGAAATGAAATGGAAAGTTTTGATTTTCCTATGAATACCCTTACTTTTGTTACCTCCCTCAGATTGGGGGCTGGTTGCACACTCATGTTCTAACCCTAACACCAAAGCTGACCAACTTGAATGTACAGCTTCAATGGAATTCTGTAGTGATAACCACCTAACCTGAGTAGGCTTCTTAAACCTTTTCACTTGGTCACCCATTATTTTTTTTAATTCTCTAATTTTGTTGTACCTGGGTGCTGAAAACTCATAAAAATTGTAAATATTAACAAGAGTTTCTTGTACATTCTGCAGATAAGGGACTCTTTTAGCTGCCCAGTAAGGGCTAGTCTATGTGCAGCACACCAAATGTGAATTATTCTGGGGTTGTCAGCTTTTAATTTTACACCAACCCCAGCTTTCCTCCCTGTCATTACTGAAGCACCATCACTTCCAAACCCTGATACTTTGTCAACATTTACACCTACAGAACCAAGCCAGTTTATAATTTCCTTATATACAGTTTCTGCTTTGCCATCAACAATGTCAACATTTGCACAAAACTCTAACTTAAGTTCACCATTATGAATGATTTTTGCAAACATTACAAGTTTTTTTGTGGTCGTTATGTCTAAAGATTCGTCCACCATAATGCCAATATATGGGCTGTTTTTAATCCGGATAAGAGCCATTTCCTGTAGGACATCAGCCAGGTACTGTTGCATATGCATGACTGCTTGGTGGTTCCTTAAAATTCCTGAAGGTTTTCTGTTACCAAGATCAGGATCAGTGGTTTCTTTTACAGATGAATTATAGAAGATGTGTGCATTGGATATCTGCAGTGAAAATTAAAAATACATTTTAAAATAGTAATGATATGGTGTACAGTTGCCTAATAGTGGATTTTTTTATATATTTTATAGAATAGAGATAATTAGATTTCAATGCTTAGTGATTTTTTTTCATGTATTTTTAGCATGCGAAGATTTTTTTTCTAAAAAGTTATTTAAAAACAAATGATCACTGATTAAAGTTTTAACAAAAAGTTTTAACAATATTTTTTTAAGTTTTTTTTAAAAAATTTCTGTGATTTTTTTTAGCTTTTGTAGGGATTTGAAATCTATCAGCATGTTATTTTGAGCAAAAAAAATCTACCTGCAAATCAATCAAACTCAGAAACTTTCTGTTGGCAATATTTTCTTTAGCCATATACAATGCGGTCCTGAGCTGTGCCTCTAAGATTGGTTCATATTTTTTCTGAACTATTTTTACAGCAGCAGTCATGTAAGGTTTTTGCTTTTTGGCGTTGCATGACACATTGTGATCGTCGCATTTCTGGTGTCTAACTAATGCTGACCGCTTGAAATTATTAGTCCCAATTGTAAACACCGATTTCAGACACTTTTTAGTGTTTTTTTCACATGTCTCGCATGTTAAACGAAACATTGTCTTTGTCAAATCTAAGCCATGAAAATTCGGACAACCAGGAGTTCTGAAATCGTTTTGCAATGTTTCTTTTTGGGGGGTTCATCACTATTTTCACTAGGGCCTGGTTCTTGATTTGCGCTAGAGGATTGAGTAAGGTTCGGCGATTTTTCGCTGGAATCGCTTTTATGGAACCATTCATTTAAATTGCATTGCATTTTCAATAACTTTTCCTGCGATTATTTAATATTTCAGACGGCTTATTTGTATCACCCGGATGTAGACTTGTTACTGCTTTTAATATAGAGCGTCGCGAAGCGTCGTTAATAATTATAAACCAGTCCATGAGCTAAAAATAGAACAGCTGGGAAACCCGAGTTATGACCTCAGTTATGACTGATGGGATTAAATTACGGTCTTGTAAACAATTTCAGAGATTTATGAGTAGATTATTGATTTGTGCTTCGAATTTACGGATAATTTTTTGGCAGTTTTACTTTATTTTTTATACGTGCATGCACGCACCTAGCTGTAATTTCATGCGTGATTTTTGTAAATTATGCGTGATTCACGTACATTTGTGCGTGAATGGGAACACTGCATTATATCTGATTTTCAATTTCATATGATATACTATAGCATAATTTATGTTGTTATCATTCAGTCTGTAACTTTAGAAGATTTATGTATGTTTTATATACTTTGTTATTACAGAGCTGGCAGTTCATGATGTGGTTCAAGTAAAGGTCACATCCAATGAAGATATTTGGGCAATCAAAGTATTGAATCTTCTATCCTCCCTGATCTCCTTACTTAATGGTCAGACTGTTGCTAGAGAGATTCCCATATTTGGAGCACCGTTTGATGAAGACGTGTTTATTGTTGGTCTCATCGATGAACTGAGATTTGATCCGACATCATTTCAATTGGATCTGTGGGAGTTTAAGACTCGTAAATATAAGAATATGCCATCGAAGGCGCAGCAAGCTCAAAATAGGTTACAGGTAATGCTGTACAAGAAATTGTTTGATGACCTGGTCAAAGGTAAACTAACTAAGGAAGTAATTGCGAAACATTTAAAACTAGATATGAATAGAACATTTGGTAGTGATATCCAAGCAACTATTGATGATAAATGCTTAACAGGCACGACTCTTAATCAATTGTTGGATATTTTGTTCATTAGAATACAATGCATTACTTGTATTAAAGAAATCGGGATAGAGTACGAACATCAGGGAAGTAAAGAATCTCTTGGAATGAATAGTGTAGATTATGATGATGAAGAATTAGAGAAATTATTTAAGAGTTATCTGGAGTTTTAGAGAGGTCGGAGGAAGTGAAAGGAGTGGAAATCGAGGAAGCTTGGAAGTGTCAGTCATGTGACTTTGCAGATATCTGTGA